GCTGTGTTTTGTACATCATATATTTGACTCCCCCATACTACTATATATTGGGTGTTAAAAGATGGTGAACTCACGTCAAGTTGTTCGCAGCCGTCTAATTTTTCCCCTGTATACACCGATCGACCAGATTATATGGTTGCATATAGTTTCTTTGACTATGATTCTACTGTTTGCTAAAGAGAATTCTAAACATCGATGTTAGATACGCATAAAATTGCGTTACGCCTATCAGTAATGTGCTCTAGCCCTCACATCACGTACTTTGTGTCGTGTCACACATACGCATAAATATTATGGAAGCTCGCGATGTTGCTGGTGTCGGGATTCTGTCAAGTGTCCAAGCCGAGCGTTCAGTTCTTCACTGGATTCCCGTTAATAGCCGACTGTGTGCTATACGTCTGGATACTTTAGCTCAGGTCAACAGCTACAGAAACAAGCGTCGATGCGTGTTTGTCGTATCCGTGTATGCACCGACTGATTGCAGTTCGCCAGAAATGAAGGATGAATTCTACAAGGACCCACCCCAACTACTACAAAGTGCTCGGTCAACGGACATTGTGGTAGTAGCTGAAGACTTCAATGTTCAAGTGGGATCCCTAGGGGGAATTAGAAAGGCTACTTGGTGGTTCACATGCAATTCCAGCCAACCAGATTGAGGAAGAAAATCACCTACTCCAACTTTGCGCTGACCAGGGACTGTTCCTTTCAAACCTCAACTTCTCACACAAGAGACGGCACCGCCTTAAATGGATACTGCTAACCTCTTCACGGTGCTGGACTCAAATCGATTGTATCGCCATCAGCCACCGCTAGCGAGGATCCATTGAAGACTGGCGCTCCTATTGATCAACACCCGTGAACACGGACCTTGCTCTTCTATGAGCCAGATTCTCCCTACTTCTGGTAAATAACCACAGAGAAGCCACCGAAAACGAATGCCAACAATACAGTATCACCAACGGTTGCAAACCGGCCTTCGAAACGAAACTATCAGATCGCCTCTCAACTCAACCATCAGCCGGAGGACTCAATGAACACTGGACGACGATCAAGGAAGCCATCCAAACGTCGATGAAAACAACGGCAGATTCTGGTGCGCGATCCAAACAAACACGATGGATCTCGACCTCGGTTGCCTGCTGGACGCTCATAAAGCCATTCCTTCGGATTCAAAATAAGACAAAGCGCGCAAATGCCTTGAACGC